CAAGTAAGCGGCGCCGTAGGGGGAAACCGAGGCAGGGGTGGGCAGGGGTGGGCAGGGGCGGAGGCCGGCTCCGGTCCACCGGCGACCGATGACCTCATTCCTGCACGCAGCTGGCATATTTCCTTCAGACGGGACTAGCTTCTATTCTGATGGCACTCCACAGTTTGACGCGAAATGACATAATTTACTTTCCACGTATTTTAAAGTGTAGGCGTAATTTACAATGAAATGCACAGATTTTTGAGTTTTGACAAATGCATATACCCGTGTGACCGTCAAAACAATCAAGATATGGTCAATACCCCAGATGGTTCCCTCCTCCTCCTTCCCAGTTAATCTCCTTCTCCCCCAAATTAAAGCCTCTCCAGTCTTCTGATTTCTACCACCAGAGATTGATTTTGTCCTAGAATTCCACAAAAATAGAATCTCTGAGTATGTACTTGTATATGTCTGCTTTCTTTTACTCAGCACATTGTCTTTGAGATGTACCAATGTTATGTAATCCTCACAGTTTATCCTTACTACACCCATTTTACAGATGAGGTGATTAAAGATCAGTTAATCTAGGGATTTGGGGCAAGGTTCCTGAGCTAATGAATTACGGAATTTAGGTCTTGGGCATGGGGAGTCTAATTGTCTTCCTGGCATCACAGCTGACACCTGGGAATTATACTTTAGTGTGTCTGTGTGTGTGTGTCCTCTAGCGTCTTGCTACTCAAAGTGTGGTCCCGTGAACCAGCATCACCCAGGAGCTTGCTAGAAATGTGGACTTTTGGACCCACTTCAGAGTTCCAGAGTCAGAATCTGCATTTTAAAAAGATCCCCACGTGATTTACAGTTTAAGAAGTTAAACACTGAAGTTTAGAAATGTAGAACTTGTGCAAGTGTGTTTAGCTGATTAGAACTGAGCTTCTGAGATAGCTTTAGATCCGGAAATGTGTGCTCAGTGCGCATATTTTCTAATTGCTCTCCCCTGATCCAGGAGTTTGAATTCTGAGAATACACCTGCCTGGTTTTACAGCTCCTTTTGTGACTGAGAAGTCCTTGACTTAAACCTGTGGCATGCGTATGCAAGACCACAGAAAGCTGTGCTCTGTGGGTTGGGCTCAGTGTTCATTACAATTGGTTTTAATCTCAAATGACATAAACTCCAAAGTGACACTGACCTACCTCAGACTCGTTAGAATGGATACTATCAAAAACAGAAAATAACAAGGGTTTGTGAGGATGTGGAGAAACTGGAACCCTTGTGTGCTGTTGATGGGAATGTGAAATGGTACAGCCACTGTGGAAAACAGCATCGTGGTTCATTAAAAAGTAAAAAATATGATGCAGCCGTTCCACTTCTGGATATGTCCCCCCAAAAATTGAAAGTAGGGTCTTGAAGATGTATTTGGACACCCATGGTCATAGCAGCATTGTTCACAATAGCCAAAATGAGGAAACAACCCAAGTGTCCATCATGAATGGACAAATAAACAAAGTGTGGTATATACATGAATCAGTTATCAAAAGGAAGGAATATTCCAACACAGTTACAACACAGATGAACCTTGAGGACATTATGCTAAGGGAAATAAGCCAGTCACAAAAAGACAATGATTCTGTTTATATGAGTTCCTAGAGTTGTCAACTTCACAGAGACAGAAAGTAGAATGGGCCAGGCTCAGTGGCTCAAGCCTGTAATCCCAGCACTTTGGGAGGCCGAGGTGAGAGGATTGCCTGAGTCCATGGGTTCAAGACCAGTCTGAGCAACTTTGTGAGACCTCATCTCTACAATAAATAAAAAAAATTAGCTGAGCGTGGTAGCATGCACCTATTCCGGCTATTTGGAACTTTAGGAAGACTGGGATAGAAGGATTGCCTGAGACCAGCAGGTTGACGCTGGGGTGGCTGTGAGCATGTTCACTGCACACCAGCCTGGGTGATGGAGTGAGACTCCAAATCAAGGAAAAAAAAAAGAAAGTAGAATGGTGGTTACCAAGGGCTGGGTTGGGGGGTTGGGGTGGGGAATTAGTGTTTAATGGGTACAGAGTTTCACTTTTGCAAGATGAGTTTTGGAGACAGATGGTGATGTTTGTGCATTATAAATATATTTAATACCATTGAGCTGTACACTTAAAAGTGCTTAGGATGGTAAGTTTTATTTTATGTGCATTCTTTACTCCCCAAAAAAGGAAAGAAAAGAAAAAAGTGACAATGGCTTACCCAAGATGAAAATGTGTTTCTCTCTTCTGTAAGGTCTAGTTGAGCAGTTTAGTACAGTGTTCTACAGTATTTGAGACCCAGAAGGCTCTGTGTGGCCTTCAAAAAGGCAGCATCCATATTTCAGGCTGCAGGATGGAGGAAGGGATGTAGATGAAGAGGCAAAGTGCAGGCTTACACCATCACTTACCAAAGATACCTGACTTTGTTTCCATCCCATTGGCCAGAACGTAGTCACATGGCCACACCTAGCTTCAAGGAATGCTGGGAAACATTGTCTCTTTTCTAGACAGCTCAATGTTTGCCACACATCCAGGGCTCTAACTCCTGGAAGAAGGCAAGAATGGATACTGAGAGGCAACTCACAGGGAACAAAGGAAGGGGTCACTAGGGAAGGAGTCTTTTCTCTTTCTTTAGGGCTAAAATTCCCCCCGAGGGAAACTGTCACTCAGACCAGAATGGTTTCTGTAGTCTCTCTGCTTCCTTGATATATATATATATATTTTTTTTTAGTCAGAGTCTTACTCTGTAATCCAGGCTGGAGTGCAGTGGCATAGTCACAGCCACTGCAACCTCAGCCTGCTAGGCTCAGGCAATCCTTCCACCTCAGCCTTCCAAGTAACTGGAACTACAGGCATGTGCCACCATGCCTGGCTACTTTTTCTTGATTTATCACGAGACAAGGTCTCACCAAGTTGCCCAGGCTGGTCTGGAACCCCTGGGCTCAGACAGTCCTCTCACCTCAACCTCCCAAAGTGCTCGGATTACAGGCATGAGCCACCAAGCCCAGCCTACTTCCTTGATCTTTATCATTATCTAGAAGTCCAGAAAGAAATTGTAGGAGACAAAAACAAAAAACATAAACAAATACACCTGCTCCTAGTATCTGTTGCTTGATTAATCTTGAGAATGTTTAAATTGGGGTGACAGGAGTTCCCTGCTGTACCCAGGCAATGTATGGTTATCAAAGCACAGTTTTTGGTGTCAGACTCAAGTCGGAATCCTGACTTTATGCCTCTCTTAGTTCGAAGTTCTGGAGAGGCCAAGCCTGAGACAGGAGTTTGAGAACAGGTAGCTTCTTTGGGAGGTGACTTCGGGGGGCACCGGTAGGCGAGTTAGGAAGTGAGACAGAGAGGAAAGGCAGCCAATACCAAGTACATGATCAAAAGAGTCACCATCATGGCACTGGAGTGCAATAGCTGGGAGTAGGATATGCCTCAGTTATCCCAGCTGATATGGGCGGGAGTGGGTTATATGTACACCAGTTCACCTCTATCAGAGGTTGAGGGCTCCCCCCAGGGGTCCTGACTCGCTGTCACGTCCAGCCTGCCCTATCACCAGCCCAGAGGAGTCCTTAGCTGTGCAGGAATGATATCACAAGGATAAGGGTGAAGTGCTGGTAGCATTTGCTTGAGACCTTGGGCAAGTTTCTCAGCCTCAGTTTCCCCACGTTTCATACAACAGTAGCAATAACTGCCCCGTTCCAGCATGTGGCGAGGATTAAATGACCTAATCTAGAAAAATGGGCATGTTGCACATGTCTACAGATAAAATAGCATAAGAAATCTAGTGTGGTCAGGGTCAAGGTGTTCGTGGTGGGTTTCGTAGGGCGGCCTCCTGGTCTCTGTGCTGCTGCTGCACTTGGGTTACAGATAGGCCAATATATAATCCTCTCATCCTGGGGGTGGCTGGGCACCAGGGGCTGTGCGTGGGGGCTCGGGAGTCTTCAGCTGGGAGACTCCTGTCCCACTGACTCCTCCCAGCCACCCCACACACTATACAAATGTGAGAAGAATTGGGAACCATCGGGAAATGAGGCATTCATTAGCCACTTTGTTAAAATTAAGGCCCTCTCCTGAAAGAAGTCAGACTGAATTCAGTGCTGACTGTGTGATGCACATATATGAAAGCATGGTCGCCACCCAACTCTCACTTACGTGTCCAACTTGCAGGTATGAAAACGAGTGTGAATGTCAACTGCTGCTGAAAGAAATGCTTGAACGTCTTAACAAGGTGAGATGAACTTGGTCCTTGGTTTACACACCTGAATTATAGCGTTGAACTGATGGTGGAAGCAACTGCCTCACATGCTCCCCTCTATGGTGTTTTGGAGTTCCCCTACTTCTTTTGCAATCACTCCCTCGGCTTCTTAATTTCAACTGAGTCTTTGTGGGTGAACTCACATAGCCATACACACATTCCTCTACCACAAAATACGTGGTTTCATGAGAGAAATGTCAACTCTGAAGCTTATTGAGTAGGCTAACCTAGCAAAATATGTCAGCATCACAATGACAAGCTGCTGTTGTAGCCCTCAGACATATTGATCCCAAACACTGAATGTAGGAAGGAATTGACTTTGGGCAGAAATTATTTGGATGCAGTGATACCTCTGTCTTGTTGGCTAAGAGTCTTGAGAAAAAGTTTTGAGGAAAACTCTTGAGAGAACTGAGGAAGAAATTTCCATTGCCCCCGAAGCTCCCTCTTCTTGGAACATGGAAAGTTGTTCCATGGGAGGTACTGGGGATTCTTATCTGCTTTCTGACAACTTCCTGCATGGGTTGTGTAGAGTTGTTCTTTGTAAGATCCTTCTTGGTATTCCTCCATCATCATCCAAAATGATTGGATTTTTTTGCTTTAACCAAGAGAACTCCACTCCCAAATAGCAGAATAATTCTGGACAATGAGGGTTAGACAAAACCAGCCATGCCAAATAGCTTTAAGCCTTGTCCTTTTCTTTTCTTTTCCCTCCCTCCCCTCCCCTCCCCTCCCCCCTCCTCTCCCTTCCCTTCCCCTTCCTTCCTTCTTTCCTTTCCTTTCCTTTTTTGAGTTAGGGTCTCACTCTGTTGCTCTGGCTATAATGCAATGGTACAATCATGGCTCACTGCAGCCTCTACCTCCTGGACTCAGGTGATCCTTCCACCTTAGCTTCTCAGGTATCTGGGACTACAAGTGTGTACCACTGTGCCCAGTTAATTTTTATAATTTTTTTTTTTTGTAGAGAAGAGTTCTTACTATGTTTCCCAGGCTGCTCTTGAACTCCTGGGCTCAAGTGATCCTCCTGTCTCAACCTCCCAAGTACTGGAATTACAGGCGTGAGCCATCTAGCCCAGCCCCTTGTCCTTTTCTGATTACTTCTCAAATGTCAGAGTGGAAGGAGCCATGGAGACTGTTTAGTTGAAGGCTTGCTTACTTAGGCCACATGGGCTGCCATCCTCTGCCACAAACTCTTTTCTGCAGGACCCAGATAGGCCTTAGGATTCATCTCCACGTGGAATTCCAGGCCACCGCTTCAGACCATCAGGGTTGACGCAGGGTGTCTGCCATACCCTGGCTTTGTCCAGCCTCTGTTGTTTAGGATTATTCTACTGAGTGGTGGGAGAATCAGAACTAGAATCTAGGGAGACCAAATTTTGCTTTGTCTATGTTACCTTCCCATGGTATCCCCTCTGTGTGTGAGCATAGAGTATATTGTGTAAACCAGGACACTGGTGTGAAAAGGGTGCTGTCAATCATCATGCAGCCAGAGTGGGATGGTCTCCGGCTGCCTTATTTATAAACTCAAAGATGGCGGTGAGAAGGGGCTTCAGAAAAACCCTAAGGACACAGACTCCATGGTTGACCTGAGGAACAAGGACCTGTTGGACATCTGAGTTGGGAGTTGGGCCTTGTTGGCATCTGACATCACCCCACTGTTCTGACCTCTGTAGCTCATCCTCGTTCTTGTGTTTGGGGCAAACCCAGGCTGCCAGGTGAGCCACCATCTTGTCCCTAGACCTCTGCCTCCAGGGACACAGGTGCCTGACATCCTTCAAGTAGGAGCCATTTCAGGCCTTCCCCAAGCCCCCTCCGCAAAATGACTGTATGTTGCTTTGCCCTTTCCTCACTGTGAGCCAGGCTTCCTTTGGACTTCTGAGGTTGTCACTCACTCAGTGCCATCCTGGGCATTCCTCCAAGAAAGGCGACAAAGAATGGAGTCCTTCTTTTTACCCTTGTTGAAAAATGACAGTGGATTTAAGAATAAGCTTAAACTTTCTGTCATTTTTCTCTTACTTCAAAAAGCAATACGTGGCTGGATGCGGTGGCTCATGTCTGTAACCCCAGCACTTTGGGAGGCGGAGGCAAGAGGATTGTCTGAGCCCATGGGATTGAGATCAGCTTGGGCAACTCGATGAGACCTCATTTCTACAACAAATAAAAATTAGCCAGGCATGGTGGTGCATGCTTGTGGTTCCAGCTACTTGGAAGGCTGAGACGGAAGGATCTGCAGGTTGATGCAGGGGTGGCCGTTAGCATGCCATTGTACTCTGACCTGGGCGACAGAGTGAGATTCTGATTCAAAAAACTAACTTGTCTAGTAGCTTGAATAAGTAAACATGGGAGGAGGAGGAGGAGGAGGAGGGGATCGGGGGCCGTATGCCAAACCTACTGTGTGGTGGTGCATGCCTGTAGTTCCAGCTACTTGGAAGGCTGAGGCGGAAGGATCGCCTGAATCTAGCAGGTTAAGGCTGCAGTGGCCATGAGCATGCCACTCCCCTCCAGCCGGGTGTCAGAGTGAGACTTCAACTCAAAAGAAAGAAAAAAGCAATACATAGTCTCAGTAGAAAAATAAGGCAATATAGATAATAAAAATGAGGAAAAGGCATCTCACCATCTCACTTCTCAGATAACACACCTTCCTGTGTATTGTGACATTGAGTATGGGAGTCTGAGGTACTGGCCCCATAAGAATATCATGAAGGTTCTGGGGAAAGATGTTACCAAGAACATGGGTGAAGGGCAGCCCAGGAACTGGTGTGAGTTAAGGGATTATCCTGGGTCCTGGATGAGATTGCTTCTGCCCACAAGTGAGCTGTGCAGTTCTTAAGGGAAAGATGACCTGTTCACAGGAGCCTTAAGCTACTGCTGAGTATCTGTGAAAGGGAAGAAATAGTCTCCACTGCCATAGGAGTGGAAGCTTATGTGCCTAGTGAGAACTAAACAATGCAACAATATATATGACTTGCCTGTCATCTGGTGGTGCTCAATCCCTCCCTGGTCATGGTTATTATTACAGAGCACTTCATGTGAAACCAAGATGCCAGCTTGGTTTTCTCCACCGTGTGGGTTTGCATACCCCTGGTGGGATGGGAAATGATTTCTTTTTTTGAGTCAGGGTCTCACTGTGTTACTCAGGCTGGAGTGCAGTGGCCACAATCATGGTTCACCACAGCCTTGATCTTCTGGGTTGAGGCAATTCTTCTGCCTCAGCCTCCTGATAACTGGGACTACAGGTACATACCACCACACACAACTTATTTTGTTGTAGATACGAGGTCTTGTAGTGTTGTCCAGGCTGGTCTCAAACTCCTGGGCTCAAGCAATCCTCCCATCTTGGCTTTCCAAAATGCTGGGATTATAGGTATGAGCCACTGCACCCAGACAACCTGAACATTTTTGGAAAGGTTTTTGACATCCAGGTTGATGGAAAAGTGTTTTTTAGTTAAATCCTAGTAAATTAAAAGTCTTAATGTACTTGAATACCCATTTTTTAGCAGTTGAGTTAAAACACACACACACACACACACACACACACACACACACACACACCCCGAAACAATGAAACAAGGTCTTGCTATGTTGCCCAGGCTTATCTCGAACTCCTGGACTCAGGCAACCCACCCGCCTCAGCTTCCCAAAGTGCTGGGATTACAGGTGTAAGCCACCATGTCTGGCCGGCAGTTGGGTTTTTAATGGCATTTCCAGAATCCCTGTGAATAGATTAACAAATGTGATTTTCAAGGGCACATTGAACTCTAATTATTTTTCTAGTCCCTTTCCCAAAAATGGCTGTAAATAGTCTAGACCAGTGGTTCTGAGGCTTCAGTCTGCTTCAGTGTCACGTGGAGGGAGTGTTAAAATCCAGATTCCTGGGTCCCAGATCTAGGAATTCGAATCCAGTAGGTCTGAAATATGCTGGGTATTTGCATTCGTAATCAGTTTCTGGGGGTTGTGGTCCAGGGACCACACTTTGAGGTCTGCTGGTCTAGATCTGGAACATACACGATATCAGAGTTGGAATGTTGTCTAAAATTAGACTATGACCCTGAGTCTCAATGCCGAAAAATCTAGATGCTTCTGCTAGTGAAGCTTTTGAAAATTCAGCTGACAGCATTCAAAGCATAATAAAAACACAAGCGTCTACACATTTCTGAGTTCTGGTGCAAACAAAGAAAACACTTCTGAAACACATTTTCCTCAACGTATCAGCAACTGCACATTCCAGTGGCTCCTACTCTCCTTTGGTGGTTTTTGGGAGACATTTTATCGATGATTATCTTCAAAGCAGGACAGTGAGTTTGCAGAAGCATCTGGTTAATCCATATTTTAAGGACAAATATTAACTAGTCTTTTATTATCCCCATGAGCAATTTATTATTATTATTTTTATTTTTTATTTTTATTTTTTGAGTTGGAGTCTCACTCTGTCGCCCAGACTGGAGTGCAGTGGCCGCTCCCAGCCACCGCAGCCTCGACGACCTGCTGGTCTCCAGTGATCCTTCCGCCTCAGCCTTCTGAGTAGCCGGAATTACAGGCGTGCTCTACCACGCCCGGCTCATTTTTGATTTATTGTAGAGATGAGGTCTCGCCAAGTTGCCCAGGTGGGTCTCGAACCCACGGGCTCAGGCAATGCACTCACCTCAGCCTCCTAAAGGTGCGGGATTACAGGCTGAGCCACCGAGCCCGGCTTATTATTATTTTTTTAAATCAGAGTCAGTCTCACTCCGTGACTGGAGTGCAGTGGCGCGATCACGGCTCACCGTGGCCTCAATCTCTTGGTCTCAGGTGATCATCTCACCTCAACCTCCCAAGTAGCTGTGACTACAGGCACACGCAACCATGCTCAGCTAATTTTTAATTTTTAAAAAATTTTTGTAGAGGTGAGGTCTTTCTATATTGTCCAGGCTCAGCCTCCCAAAGTGCTGGGATTACAGGCATGAGCCACTGCACCCAGCTACATTATTACCACAAGC